CAGAGCGGAGCTGCACTTTTAACTGATGGGCAAACTGCTTGACTCGACTGTGTGCGACTTTGGAAAGCAGCAACAGGGCTGCGCAAGTGAGTTTAGATGCGTGAGTGCGGAAGCTCACTTGAGGCCCAGCAGTCAATGGAACAAGAGGAGGAAAGAAGTTGTCGCTCTATAAATATCCTGACTTCATTTGAGTTTATGGCAACAGCCGTGCGCGCACATGACATCATGAATGACATGAACCATGACCCATGTTCAGGCTGCAAACATTCCAGTCATGCTTGAGATGCGGTTTTGCGGCTCAAGCCTGTCAGTAGCAGTTGACTCAACGTGCTTGATTGAGATTTTGTGAACCATTGACATTAAAGCCTCATGTCAACTGGCTTGCCTGCTAATAAGAAGCGTCGGACAGTGACAGATTCTCCTGCAAGTCAGACAGTGTGTCACACTGAATCTTTCAGAGGTTGAAGCCAGTGCGACAGTGTGTCAAATCAAACTTCCTCAGCCTGACTGGACTGACGCTCAGCCACGGGACTGGGGAGTTGAAATGACTGAGCCGGAGCTTCAGCAGGGGAATGACAATGACGACGTCGAGCAGTCAGATTTATCGGAGCTGGACTCGGAACTGGAACGTGAACCTTGCCCAGTCTGTCTTGCAGAATCTATTCTGACAGATGTCAGGACCGGTGACCGGCTCGGCATGTCTGGTGGTGTGACTATTATGTGGGTTGGACTTGAAGCGTTTGTTCAGTTGCCGAGTGATCTGCGATTTAATCGGGAACCTGTGACCTTTGTTACTGGCATGCGTGGCGCAGTGCTCATGATCATCAACGACAATCGCCAGACAATGCGTTGCTCCCATTGCTCGAACTTTGATTCGACTTATGTGCAAGACAACCCCATTGCAACGATCTGTGATGACCGTGATCCGTGCCGCTGTCCTTGCCACAAGTTATTGAAAGCGCTTGACTTGACGCATGGCAGAGTATTTTTTGAGCTGGCTCGCCAGCCCCGTCAAGAATGAATAATGATGATGGACAATGGAATGGTCCAACGTTGCTGGCGCTAACGTGCGCTCATGATGACTTGCGACTCACTGATGCGACAATAAAAATAATCATTATTATAAAATTGAGTGACACACACTTAATGCATGTTGTATGTTCTTGCATGTGTTTGTCCTTGTTTGCATTTGTGTCATGTATGTTTGCATTGTTTTTGCACTCTTTTTGTATTTTTTGTATTTTGTTGCATTTTTTTGCATTTTGTTGCAGTTTTTTGCATTTTGTTGCATTGTTTTTTTGCATTTTTTTGCACTTTTTTTTTGCATTTTTTGCATTTTTTGCATGTTTTTTGCACTTTTTTGCATGTTTTTGCACTTTTTTGCATCTTTTTGCATTTTTTGCATCTTTTTGCACATTAGATGCAAAAATATGATAACTTGATAATTTGAGATAATTTGAGATAAATTGAGGTAAGGTCTAAACCCCATGGATCTGGGACCCTTAATATAATCAGTGATTTTTGCATGTTTCACGTTTTAGATAGGGCGCGCAACTCGCCAGTTTGAAGTTTTGCCAGTTGCTTCGCCGCCAACTCCTGTGGCAAGGCCCTTGCGCTACTGCGCAGCAAGCAGTTAGTTGGTTTGGTTGCCACTAAAAGAACCAAGAGGAAGGGCCAGAGTTGGTGCAGTAACAGCATGTGACACGTGCCGTGTGTCAACTGCAGCTAGTTGAGTGTGGAGGAGGCCGCAGGCCCCGACTGGCTATCGGCTATCGACCGATCTAAGCGAATTTTTGCTTTGAGGTTTGCGTGAGTTTTCGGCCAAAGCCAGGAATCTGGCCTGGCGGGCGTGCTTCAACTTGTGTCACGTGATTGTCTTCATTGTTTCGCATGTTGCGATAGTTTGATTTGGTGAGCAGTTGTTTCCGAAAAGGAGACGCGTGCTGAAAAAGCAGAAAGCGCGCCAGTGTTGGCTTTTTTGCTGAGCCGTGCGTGCTGTCTCACACACACACACACACGCAGGCCCGCCCTTGCAGCAAGCCAAAAATCGTCGGCAGCCTCTGACATCAGTTGTCTAAACTCCTAAAGGGTAGCAGTGTCAACTGATTCAAGAGCGCAGCTCTCATTGTAATCGCTTTAACTGCGACTGCAACGGTGAACTGTGACGTCTAGTAGCGGCGACTTGCCTTGTAAACGTGCTGCTAGGTTGTGTGGTTGTGCGCCAGTCTGAACTTGCGAGACAACTGTTTTTGGGCCTTTTCTTTCACATTTGAAAACATGAGGCTTCGGCTTGTTCTGAACTTTTGAAACTCCAGGTTTTGACCTTTGACTTTTTCTGAAGTTTGGAAACTCCAAGGTTTTGACCTTTGACTTTTCTGAAGATTTGAAACTCCAGGTTTTGACCTTTGACTTTTTCTGAACTTGTGAAACTCCAGGTTTTGGCCTTTGACTTCTTCCTGAAGTTTTGAAGAAGCAGGCTTTGACCTTTGACCAGTGTCAACAAATAGGCTTTGATTGTTGACTTGTTTCTGTTTTTTCTCGTTCTTTTGTGCTTGCATTTTGTCTCCTCACCTTTGTTTTTCTTGCGCTTTTTTCCTTGCACTTTTTTTTTCTCCTCACTCTTTGTGCTTTTTTCTTGTTTTTCCTTGCACTGTTTTTTTCGGTTTTTTCCCTTGCGCTGTTTTTTCTCGCTTTTTTTCCTTGCAGTAAGAAACTTTTTTGGTGACGACTTCGTCTTTAGACGGGGTTACCCAAACGGATTCTATTGTATATGGGAGGGTTCTGACTCTCGTCCGTCCAGGAAACGACCTTGTCCTGCAAAGGATTCGATATCTAAAATGCTGCGTGCAGGCGTGTGGCTGCATCAAAACGACCCCTAGATATGCGGTTTGGGCAAGGCGAGCCCCCAAACAAAATCCTGGTTTTTTGGCTGGCTGGCTCGGTTGGCTTCTGGCTTCTGTTTTTGGCCGGCTTTTTGGCTGGCTCGGTTTTTGGCTGGGTTTTTGGCTGGCTTTTGGCTGGGTTTGGCTGGCTTTTTGGCTGGGTTTGGCTGGCTTTTTGGCTGGCTTTTGGCTGGGTTTTTGGCTGGCTTGGACATTTTTTCCTTGGTTTTTTAGCTCGCCTTGCAGAAACGCAGCTGCGGGTGATTTTGCAAGCGTATCTAGGGGTCGTTTTGTTGCAGCCACACGCCTGCACGCAGCATTTTAGATTTCGAATCCTTCGCAGGACGAGGTCGTTTCCTGGATGGACGAGAGTCAGAACCCTCCCAGGTGCAATAGAATCCGTTTGGGAAACCCCCTCTGAAGAGAGAGACACATTACTCGATGAGCGCCCATGAGTTTGCTGCAAGGTGCGGACGGGGTCAACCTGCAGAAGCTCTGCAGGCTTGGTGGGCGCGGCTCGGGACGCGTGGCGCTGCAGGCATGGCGACGGGCACCATGGTGGTGCACCTGCTTAAGGAGGTGTTTCGCGAGCGCAACATCTGCATCCAAGCCTCGTGTCTAGCAGTCTTAGTGTCGCCGTTTCGTGGCAAGGAACGATGGGCAAATTCTGTGTCACCCCTGTGCGAGCGGCCAAGGCCGAGTGCACAGCGTACACGGAATGCGTTGGATGGAAGAGGGACGTCATCTCCCAGATCCGCAAAATCTGCCAAGCCTCCAAGCCACCCCTCTTCGCGCAAACTGCAGATCTGGCAGCGTCTGTCACAAAGACCCTCCTGGCTGGCGCATCCGCGAATTTTGGCTCCAAACCCAGCGCATGCGTCTCTCAACAGTTTCCGCTGAGATTTGCTATTCAGCTTGGAAACACTTAAACGGGGGACAATGACACCTCCTGCTCCAGGTGCACCGCGTGCTCTGGAGGCAGTGCCACTTTCAAGCAACCCGTGAAAAAGAAGTGCGCGGCTTTTGGGTTTGCGGGGCTCGTTGATTCGGAGGGTTGTTTGGATTCAAGCTAGGAGCAGTGCAACAGGCCAAAACGCTTAGGGTTTTCTTTTCCCTTGTGTTTAGGGCTGTCCTAACCTTGAACTCAAACCGCTTGTTTCGATTGAAACCCACGGGCACGCCTGCCCTTGCCTTCGCTTTCTAGGGCTGTACCCGCGATACTCCCTTTTCATCACACAGACAGCTGTCTGTTAAAGAAGCGCGGGCAGCCGTGCAAATGCACTGCCAGGACACGCATGTCTGGCGCCCTTTTCAGTTTCACAGCGGGGACAATGACGCCTCCTGCTCCATGTGCACCGTGTGCTCTGGAGGCAGTGCCACTTTCAAGCAACCCGTGAAAAAGAAGTGCGCGCCTTTTGAGTCGGGGGCTCGTTGATTCGGAGGGTTGTTGGGGTTCAAGCTAGGAGCAGTGCAACAGGCCTTAATTGTGGAGTTTATTCATCATGAAGTTGCGGAAGGAGTTGGACGCCCCCAGCAAGGCAACGGTTCCGGACTATGCAAACAGCGAGCCTGAAATGAGGCCTGAAGGCTAGGACTAGGAAAAGGATCAAATCGGTCCGGATCACCCCTGCTGGGACGGTGTATCGCACGCATGAGCAGCCCGCATTTTTTGCACGCCAAGCAGTGCAATAAGTGCATTACGTGCTGTGGGTTTGAAGGCAGCATGTCAGAGTGATTCGGGATTTCAGGCACACCCACGGCATGGCAGTGCATTTCGATCACATGTGCATTCACCACATTGGAGGCTCTAATAGCCGTAGAGAAAAAGGCGCCACCGTCCGCTCGACCGCATCTACAGCTGTGTGCTCCTACGCGCGAGCACATCACATGCATTGACCGCGCGCTTTGATTTTTCAAACCAATGCAAACCTTTTGATTGGTTGTGAGATTCAGGTTCATGCTGCGATGTGATCCACAATGATTTTGGCTCCGGGACAGTTCTAAAGGACCAATTTCCATTGGCACGTGTTTAACTCTGATTTCCTGCCAATGTGTATTTTGAGTTGTGTTGTGTACACTTATTTACCAGTGTTGAAATTGCAAGTTTCAGGCTTGGTAGGTGACACTAGGACAAGCACAATTAGAAAAATTCAGACGCCATGGTTGCGACTTCTGTGGCGGCATACGATCTTGCACGCAAATTGTCGACTGAGTATGACAAACGAAAAAAGGACAGTTGGATGTTGGGCTGCGCGATTTCGGAGAAGGCGGGGTGAGTGGACCTTGCTGACAGGACGAAAAGGAGATGAACCTCCGAAAGGATGAGACGGAAGAAAAAAGGAGCAATGATGCCAGCGCTGGCATCAGTCCTTGCCTGAGCAATTAGTTTTGACATGCACTTCTGGATGATTTGTGTATTTCGGGATTCATGTCCGAAGTTCGTCGGTGCTGGTGCTGTTGTTGGTGGCGCTTGTGCTGCTGAGAATGCTGACGATGCTGCTGCTGCACTGATGCTGATGCCGCTGCTGATGCCAATGCTGATGTTGCTCCTTAATGATGATGACGATGGCGATGATGAAGAGGATGATGAAGAGGATGATGACGATGGCGATGGCGATGATGATGATGATGATGATGATGATGATGATGATGATGATGATGATGATGATGATGATGATGATGATGATGATGATGTTTAGGTTTCCTTGAGATCACTTTTTGGGCTTCTCATATCTAAAAACACACACATAACAGCTTGATGGTCAGTTAGTTGACAATGTCAATCCTGAACGGGCTGAGGCCGGAAGGTCACTGAGATTGACTATGGCAAGCATGAGCAAACAGTCAAAGAACTTGACCGGCAAGAGAAGGAGCAAGAATACGCTCGCCAGCTGCCGGCAATGGAGGGGCACTAGGTCACTAGATCCTTGCAGACTCCTTGTCAAGGCATACTGTGTAGCGGGTGCACCGTAAACGAATCAGGAGGCTTTGACCACAAATCGGCCAGTTGGCCATATCCCAGTATTTTGCTCAATATTCATTTACTTTTATTTTCCCTTCTTGCATTCTGTTGCGCCATGCTTGGCTGGAGGCAAGAAACGGGAGGCTGAGCAGTGGTGCACGCTGGACCACGAGCATGGGCCCAACTGCAAGCGCCCGGGAACAAGCTGCTCCCAGGATCACCAGAAAGAGTGGCAGTCGCTTTGGCCAGCACAGAATTCTCGCTTTAGCCAAAACATTCTTCTACAAGGATGACTGAAAGCACAAAGGGTTGACTCGAAATGTCACGGGCCTGCTGACCCCCAACCACCATGCTTGGTTGCCAGCGTTCGTGTTCCATCGAAAGGCCCGTCAGACTTGGCTTTCGGTTGCCCCAGGATCTACGAGCGGAGCACGGAGGAGAAGATCGAAGCGGCTGAGCGCTTCCGCCAAGAGGGCAACGAAGCCTACCGTGGCATGGCCAGAGTAGCAGCCACATAAGCTCTACTAATTGATAGCTTCTTGCTGGCTGATGAATTGCTTCTGATGGGTTTTCGGGTTGGCTGTTGATCGTGTTGACCGTTGTGGGCGGTTGATGATGGGAGTGGAGCAGAGCAGGAGAGACTATGAGGTGTAATTTCGGGCTTGACACCGTTTACCTCCAGACATAAATAGAACGACAGTCTGCAGACATTTCACGTGAATTCCCTGCCATGCTTTTCTTAGGAAAGCACAACTATGGTCTTGCTGCAGTTCATTACCGCAGGGCTTTGCTGCACTTTGACTACACATTTGCAGAGACAGAGGACCTTGATACGGGATTTGGTTGTCCATGTCATGTTCTGTAATGTTTCCGTCCAAAAACGTTTGAACTGAATGATGAGTTGTGAGTAGGATTGTCACAGTGGCTTGGCAGCGTTAAGCATTGTGATGTCTTTAAACTTGCAGCAAGCTTCAAACAATATGCAGACGTACCCAGCATGCAGAGGCCCGACAGACGTATGTTGCCGCCAAGTTCAGGGATCTTACACACATTGGCTAACAACCTTTGCAGCACAGCTTCGACAGGATACGGTTTGCTCAGTTGTACTTGTTTCATCCAGAGGGGATTGTAGTCGCCATGAGATTCTGATGATTCTGGGGTGCTGACCCTCTACTTGTTGCAAGATTTCGAGCATGTGTTGTCCGCCACTCGGCAGGTTGGTCCGCATTTGCACAGGAAGCCATTGCAGCGCGGTAGTTTGATGTTTGAAGAGATATTCGGTGCAATTGGTTGCTTGCTTCAGAGGAGTCTTTTTGAAGAAAGAAAAGGCCGCTAGAATAGTGTGTGCCCACATGCCATAAGAAGCACTGGCAACGGCTCACTTAGGCTGTTTGTCACACGGCAGGAGTTGGAGCGCCAGGTGGATGCGGTGAAATTGCCGTGCTTGTTGAACCTGGCAGCCTGTAAGTGTCAGCAGGAGCGGTTGAGGGATTTGCACTTGAAGCTACTCGAAATCGCGGACTGGGTGAGTCTTTCTTCGACGTCGCGGATTTCGAAATCGGCCGCGTGGTGTGTTTTCGGTTGTCCCCGCCAAGCGGCGTATTGCCCATGTTGCCGATGTCGAAGTGTGTTGTTACAGCTTTGCTGATGGATTTCGCAGGCTTGATAAACAGGGTGGAATCATGTGGAATTCGGAATCCCAAAGCATAGCATGGCCTTGACGCTCGGTTTGTTGACTGTCTAAGCAGGTGCTTTGTATTCAGAGAGGTCAAAACTGCCGGCAGGAAGACTGGGAAGAGGTCTTGACGCAGTGCCGACAAGCGCTTGAGATAAATCCTCGCGACTCTTGCCTGGAGTTGAGGAGACAATGGGTGGCCTCATTGAATGATTCATCCTTGTCTCGGAAATATGGGTTCTCGGAATCTGTGTGAAACTTGCACCACCAAACAGTGACTTCACAGTTTTACAAAAGCAGGGCAAAGGCTGAAGCCATTGTGTCCCAATCTCAATCTGGCTTGGCACGCTCTGCTCTTCATTAGATTCATTACTTGCTGGTTCTGAGTAGGGAATGTGGAATGCCTCCTATGGATCATCCCTTGTGGTTTCCTGGAGAACGGTTTATTCTCAAGACTCCTCAAACGATTCCCTGCTGAGCACCAGCTGTGAAGGGGTGAAGGCAGGCTTTTTTCCATGCCCCAGGCTGTGAAGGCCTACTACCGCGCGGGCCTTGCGTACCTGGCTCGCGACCAGTTCGACCTAGCCAAGGAGCGTCGCTGATTCCTGTCTGGTGCTGTGCATGAAGCCAGGTATGTCAAGTTGCCGATTTTCGTGTTCGGCGGTTGTTTCTTTGGTTGCGCTTGAGAACAGTACCCTTAAACAACACATCCCGTATTCACGGCAGTAACGGGACGTGTTGTGGACAACCCAGGACTCACTTCTGAGTGCGCTCGAAATCGAGCCAAAGAATCCAGACGTGGCAGCTGCATTGAAGCAGCTGAAGCAAAATATGGAGGACTACAAGTCGCGGACGAGCAGCTCGGCTTGAACATGCCGACAGAGCTAGGGAAGCAAGTCCGTGGCATTGGAAACAGAAGTTTGGCAATTCTTAGCCATGAGCAGGACGGTCCTGAGTCCTTGAGTTTCTTGCATGAGTTTGTCCTTTATTAGCACTGACACCGGAAGCTGAGTGCGCAGGGGACGTCGCCAAAGAGATGTTCTCTGGCAAGGCAGAAGCTGCAGAAGCTGCCGAGGTGCGAGGGTTGGCTGAGAGTCCTAGAGGTGTTGCGAGGCAAAGGTAGCACTCGTCAGGTGTCACTGCGCAACTTGTGCGTTCGCAATGCCTGCTATTCTTGTCAGCTAGCAGCGCGTGTTGGGCGGTGCAGGCATGCCGTTGAGGTGTATGCAAGTGCGCTCATAGCATCAGTCATTGGTGGCTTGTTGGTCCAGGCCCAAATGCCATCGGCATGGGGCTTTGGTACCTGAACTGCAACTATTCTGGGCTGACCTGACGCGCTCGAAAGGCATGATACCAAGGACCGGCATAGCCTAGCACAGATGGTCCGACCGAGCATGCCTAGAAAGAAAGTGCGGCACTCGTCAATTGTCACTGCGCAACTTGTGTGTTGGCAATGCCTGCTGTTCAAGTCAGCCAGCTAGCAGCGCGTGTTGGGCGGTGCAGGCATGCCGTTGAGGTGTATGCAAGTGCGCTCATAGCATCATGTCATTGGTGGCTTGTTTGTCCAGGCCCAAATGCCATCGGCATGGGGCTTTGGTACCTGAACTGCAACTATTCTGGGCTGACCTGACGCGCTCGAAAGGCATGATACCAAGGACCGGCATAGCCTAGCACAGATGGTCCGACCGAGCATGCCTAGAAAGAAAGTGCGGCACTCGTCAATTGTCACTGCGCAACTTGTGTGTTGGCAATGCCTGCTGTTCAAGTCAGCCAGCTAGCAGCGCGTGTTGGGCGGTGCAGGCATGCCATTGAGGTGTATGCAAGTGCGCTCATAGCATCAGTCATTGGTGGCTTGTTGGTCCAGGCCCAAATGCCATCGGCATGGGGCTTTGGTACCTGAACTGCAACTATTCTGGGCTGACCTGACGCGCTCGAAAGGCATGATACCAAGGACCGCTGGCATAGCCTAGCACAGATGGTCCGACCGAGCATGCCTAGAAAGAAAGTGCTTCCATAGCCTTTGCCTCCCAAGGAGATGTGTGGTGCTGGCAATAAGGCGAAGCGCAGCATTTGTCGGGACAAGGTGTTGGGGGCGAGTTCCAGAGACTAGACCAGGAGGCAAAGCTAGCACTCGTCAGGTGTCACTGCGCAACTTGTGCGTTCGCAATGCCTGCTATTCTTGTCAGCTAGCAGCACGTGTTGGGCGGTGCAGGCATGCCGTTGAGGTGTATGCAAGTGCGCTCATAGCATCATGTCATTGGTGGCTTGTTTGTCCAGGCCCAAATGCCATCGGCATGGGGCTTTGGTACCTGAACTGCAACTATTCTGGGCTGACCTGACGCGCTCGAAAGGCATGATACCAAGGACCGCTGGCATAGCCTAGCACAGATGGTCCGACCGAGCATGCCTAGAAAGAAAGTGCTTCCATAGCCTTTGCCTCCCAAGAAGATGTGTGTTGCTGGCAATAAGGCGAAGCGCAGCATTTGTCGGGACAAGGTGTTGAGGTTGAGTTCCAGAGACTAGACCAGGAGGCAAAGCTAGCACTCGTCAGTTGTCACTGCGCAACTTGTGCGTTCGCAATGCCTGCTATTCTTGTCAGCTAGCAGCGCGCGTTGGGCGGTGCAGGCATGCCGTTGAGGTGTATGCAAGTGCGCTGATAGCATCAGTCATTGGTGGCTTGTTGGTCCAGGCCCAAATGCCATCGGCATGGGGCTTTGGTACCTGCAACTATTCTGGGCTGACCTGACGCGCTCGAAAGGCATGATACCAAGGACCGCTGGCATAGCCTAGCACAGATGGTCCGACCGAGCATGCCTAGAAAGAAAGTGCTTCCATAGCCTTTGCCTCCCAAGAAGATGTGTGGTGCTGGCAATAAGGCGAAGCGCAGCATTTGTCGGGACAAGGTGTTGGGGGCGAGTTCCAGACACAAAGCTGGCACTCGTCAATTATTGTCACTTCGCAACTTGTGCGTTCGCAATGCCTGCTATTCTTGTCAGCTAGCAGCGCGTGTTGGGTGGTGCAGGCATGCCGTTGAGGTGTATGCAAGTGCGCTCATAGCATCATGTCATTGGTGGCTTGTTTGTCCAGGCCCAAATGCCATCGGCATGGGGCTTTGGTACCTGAACTGCAACTATTCTGGGCTGACCTGACGCGCTCGAAAGGCATGATACCAAGGACCGCTGGCATAGCCTAGCACAGATGGTCCGACCGAGCATGCCTAGAAAGAAAGTGCTTCCATAGCCTTTGCTTCCCAAGAAGATGTATGGTGCTGGCAATAAGGCGAAGCGCAGCATTTGTCGGGACAAGGTGTTGAGGTTGAGTTCCAGAGACTAGACCAGGAGGCAAAGCTAGCACTCGTCAGGTGTCACTGCGCAACTTGTGCGTTCGCAATGCCTGCTATTCTTGTCAGCTAGCAGCACGTGTTGGGCGGTGCAGGCATGCCGTTGAGGTGTATGCAAGTGCGCTCATAGCATCATGTCATTGGTGGCTTGTTTGTCCAGGCCCAAATGCCATCGGCATGGGGCTTTGGTACCTGAACTGCAACTATTCTGGGCTGACCTGACGCGCTCGAAAGGCATGATACCAAGGACCGCTGGCATAGCCTAGCACAGATGGTCCGACCGAGCATGCCTAGAAAGAAAGTGCTTCCATAGCCTTTGCCTCCCAAGAAGATGTGTGTTGCTGGCAATAAGGCGAAGCGCAGCATTTGTCGGGACAAGGTGTTGAGGTTGAGTTCCAGAGACTAGACCAGGAGGCAAAGCTAGCACTCGTCAGTTGTCACAGCGCAACTTGTGCGTTCGCAATGCCTGCTATTCTTGTCAGCTAGCAGCGCGTGTTGGGCGGTGCAGGCATGCCGTTGAGGTGTATGCAAGTGCGCTCATAGCATCAGTCATTGGTGGCTTGTTGGTCCAGGCCCAAATGCCATCGGCATGGGGCTTTGGTACCTGAACTGCAACTATTCTGGGCTGACCTGACGCGCTCGAAAGGCATGATACCAAGGACCGGCATAGCCTAGCACAGATGGTCCGACCGAGCATGCTTAGAAGGAAAGTGCTTCCTTCCATAGCCTTTGCCTCCCAAGAAGATGTGTGGTGCTGGCAATCCGGCGAAGCGCAGCATTTGTCGGGACAAGGTATTGGGGGCGAGTTCCAGACACAGGATCTGTAGGCAAAGCTGGCACTCGTCAATTGTCACTGCGCAACTTGTGCGTTCGCAATGCATGCTATTCTTGCTAGCAGCGCGGTGCAGGCATGCCGTTGAGGTGTATGCAAGTGCTCTCATAGCATCAGTCCTTGGTGTCTTGTTGGTCCAGGCCCAAATGCGATCGGCATGGGGCTCTGGTACCTGAACTGCAACTATTCTGGGCTGACCTGACGCGCTCGAAAGGCATGATATCAAGGACCGCTGGCATAGCCTAGCACAGATGGTCCGACCGAGCATGCCTAGAAAGAAAGTGCTTCCATAGCCTTTGCCTCCCAAGAAGATGTGTGGTGCTGGCAATAAGGCGAAGCGCAGCATTTGTCGGGACAAGGTGTTGAGGTTGAGTTCCAGAGACTAGACCAGGAGGCAAAGCTAGCACTCGTCAGTTGTCACTGCGCAACTTGTGCGTTCGCAATGCCTGCTATTCTTGTCAGCTAGCAGCGCGTGTTGGGACGTGCAGGCTGCAGTGCTCAGAACATGAGTCCTTGGCGACTTGGTGACTTGCTGGTCTAGGTCCAAATGACGTCTGCATGGGGCTTTGGTACCTGAACTGCAACTATTCTGGGCTGACCTGACGCGCTCGGAAGGCATGACATCAAGGACCGCTGGCATAGCCTAGCACAGATGGTCCGACCGAGCATGCCTAGAAAGAAAGTGCTTCCATGGCCTTTGCCTCCCAAGAAGATGTGTGGTGCTGGCAATAAGGCGAAGCGCAGCATTTGTCGGGACAAGGTGTTGGGGGCGAGTTCCAAGCACAGGATCTGTAGGCAAAGCTGGCACTCGTCAATTGTCACTGCGCAACTTGTGCGTTCGCACTGCTATTCTTGCCAGCTGGCAACGCGTGTTGGGACGTGCAGGCTGCAGT